CAATGATCAAAAGGTAAAGTCATCACAAATAACAAGATGTGTGAAGTATAAACTCATACTGTTTCACTGTTCCTAGTTTTAAAATACTTAACTCCCATTCTGGCAACAGACAACATTACAATCGTTTCTATCACACTTGAAAATATACTAAGATTCAGAGCCCAGGCGCAGGTCTGGCTGATTGGCTGTGCCAACGTGGGGTGGGAGGGGGTCTGCCCTCTATGAAAAGAGAAAAGTGCTTTTTTTCAGGATTCCTCAAAGCTGCAACCTCCTTCCTTTCAAATAGTCTCCAACACTCAGAATTACTCTCCAGGAAGTAGATGGAGACGTGTGTTTACCCATGTTTCTACCTCCTCTAATGATAGGATTTCCATTTTTGAAGTAGAAGATCTGACAAAGAAGAATTACGATTTGTCCTGGTAATCCTGTGAAACTCTTGGGCTCATTTCCACATTTGAAGAATACTCACTCTGTCTCAAATGTGGCTATTCCTTTCTTTAAGGAAACGGCACTGGTCTTCTGCGCTTATCTTTAACATCAGTAGCTGAGGCAACTGCTGGTGCTCCCAATGGCTTTGTGCCACCTTCTCCTCTTTGTAAGTTTCCTGTTCATTACCTCCCCCACCCCTATCACCCTGGCCCCCTCCTTTCTCTGCATCAGCCTTCCAGAAATGCCTCTGGAGGTCCCATGGAAGACCCTGAGTGTTAGAGACTGTCAGCACCAAAGCCTGATGGAGAGCCACCCGAAAGACACACGTGGGTTCTTGGGGAAACAATGGGTTTGTTTTGTAGATAGCAGACATGATGAAATAGCACATCTGAACCTCCATCAGTAACCAAGGGAACTAAGTGGAGCCATAGGACAATTCCTCCCGCACACACCTGCACTCACGGGGCCAGTTACAACGCCGCCCTGGACAGATGACACAACTTTGCTGAGCTGCGGGGTTATTCCTCTGCAAAATGGTCCTAAGCCGTCCCCTTAACCGCCCCAGACAAGTCTTCACTGTGTTCTCAAGATGCTTACATTTTAAGCAGAAATGTTAGCACGAATTAATGGGGCTAGTCCTCTGCAGAGCCATGTAATGAATGGATTCCCTTCATTTTATAACACATAAATAGAATGACTGGAAGCATTGCATAAGGCTAAACAAGGCAATGCGAATTTATTTTCTAAACAAAAGTATGGTAATAATTGGTGTTTTTGAAGCTCTCTTGCTAGGATTAAATTGCCTTTCAGAAGCAAATAAGGTTGTCTCCACCATTCCCAAGGATGCCCACCAAAACCATTACAGCATTTCTAGCAACCCACACTCAGCTTTAACATCACAACCTACAACCATTAGCCCTATGGCAGTTCCAAGCTGCACGCTGTCATCAGATGAGAAGAGTCCACCCAAAGAATCTTCTCTCACCAGGCGGTTTAACCAGCTCTCTGCAATCCCTCAGCAGTCAAAATCAACACATCTCTGCAGGTGGTACCCAAAGAAGCAAAACAATCATTCTTTAAAACCAACCCCTCTCCGTAGGAGGGCACCTGACATGAAAACACACAAGAATTTCACGTCGACTCTGTACTAAAAAGCTCCTTTGCGCTCTAAACCCAGACGGCTTTAGCTACACAACCCACTGATGTTTCAGCCTCTGTTTCTTCTTAATTGGACTGTTGGTGAGCCTCACACTTAGCTTAATGGGCTCTTCAGAACACAGCCACACTGCACACTGTGAATCGCCAGCCTGCTCGCCTACCAATGAGAGCACTCTATCCCGCACTCATGTCAGCGCTTGTCAACAGACAGAACCACAACTTCACTCCCAGCTCTGCTGACAACCGGGGCTCCCGTCACTGTCTCCAGAGAAATGTTTGTACGTCTGCCCTCCCAGATCCCCTACAAATCAACAGAAAGCTGCAAAATCTGGTCCAGGTAACTGCTGATTTTCATCAAGAGATTAACTGGAGGAGGAGGTGATGGAGGGAAGAGGGAAGGAGAACACAGGAGATGCTAAATTTCCCTCCATGTGTTATTAAAACAAAATATCTTCTGCCAGTTTCCACACCTGGTGTATTCTTAAACATCAGTTTTCAGAAAAATCTGATTTAGGGTTTCACTTTCAGAAAACGTATTCAGCCTTCCAGGCACTGCTATTTATATCCATTTTCCTTGAAATGACTTGTGGATTGGCCCCTATTAGCTAGAATCTTCTTCTCGCTTTTGTGCCGAAAGGCTCCGTATGGGAGCAGGCATCTCGGGCATCAGTAAGTCCCCTTCCTCTGGAGGAAAAGCATCAGCCTTGAAGAGGAGGCCAGGATTCCACAAATAAACTGTGATGTTCGTATCATCTGCTTCTCCCCTTGTCACCTGAGGTCTCCAGAGAATCCAACACCGGCTCAGGGAGGAAAAATAAAATTCCACTGCAAGAAGAGTCCACTTGTCAGGGCAGAGAGCGTCTTATCAGTGGGCCGTGGGGTCAGTGAGTCATCAAAAAGCTGTGTTTCTGTACCTTTCATCATGTCTCCACTGCTGAACAAAGTTCAGGAGCCACCTGTCAAGTCCCTCACTTTTCTTGTCCACAAGAAGCTCCTCCCCATTTCAAATGCTTTTCTTTTTCACCCTCAGAAAGTAAAAAGGAGACATTAAAAAAAAATTCTGGAACAGTCTTTTTTTCCCCCCGATGACAGAAAAGAGCCAAATGATTTTTAACATCCTGACTCTAGACATGTGTCTCTTAGTGAGATACAAGTCACCCTGATTCAAGCCTAGAGGCCACCCCTGTAGTATCGCCTTGCACGAGATCAGTTATCAGGGACTAAAGGTGATTATTTCAGGTCATCAGGCAGAAATAGTTATACAGAGCTGAAATCACTGGCTAGGAAACATAACATGCTCAGAGTCAGTGATTCACTCAGAGAACAGCTCAGAATTGGTCCTGGGGATTTTTTCCCCCATCACTGTCTCCCTAGCAAACATCAGGGAGTACACAGTGGATACCCAAACATCTGATTTCTTCAGCCAATATTTACTACTTGACTCCTGTGCATAAGGCAAGGTGTGAAGCTCAGACACTCGTCCAGCTCAGCTTAAGTTCACTGCCCTCAAGATACTTAGATGACAGCAGAGTATCTGGCAAAAGCAAGCTACCTTTCTCACCTCTGCAAATACTAATCAGTCGCACTCACTCTCCAATGCTTTCAGGGCACAGCCTGTGACCTAGCACGTTTCTGACCCTGGGGCTGCATTAAACATGCAAAGCACAAAGCTCTGAATTTGGGGTCACTCTAAATCACCCAGAGAGCCTGAGATCCCCTGTTATGATTGCTGGCATTATGGGAAACAGCAGTTTTTGACTTCAAGGAGACCCCTGCTCAAACTTTACGTATTTAAATTGTTAATAGTAATTGCCATTTTAATATTTGACAAGATTCAAATGCACATGTCTCATCTCATGAAAGTTTTAGAGGAACCTGTGGAATGAGGTCTCTGAACTCAGTAGAACCCCAAGGGATTCTGTTGATCTCATTGAAAACAGAGATATGAGAGAGAAGGATGCCTAAGCTGTGATTTTAAGCTGTGGGATGTGTTATAGCTAATTTTGTGTGGCAATAATGATGGGGCCATGAGGTGCCCAGATATTTGGCCAAATGTTATCCTGGGTGTGTCTGTGAGATAAGTATCTGAGGGGCAGATTGAGTAAAGCAGACTGCCTGCCCTATCGTAGGTGGGCCTCACCCAATCAGTTGAAGGCTTGAATAGAGAACAAAAGGGCTGACCCTCCCCTCTATACACGAGTAAGTGAGAACACTTCGCTCCTTCCTGCCTAAGCTGGGACATCAGTTTTTCCTGCCTGTAGACTTGAACTGAAACATCAGCTCTTCCTGGGTCTTAGGCCTGCTCCTTTCAGACTGCTGCTTTCTACCATGGGCTCTCCTGGGCCTCCTGTGTACTACCTGCAGATCTTGGGACTTCCCAGTCTCCAGAACTGAGTGAGCCAATTCCTTCAAATACAGCATAAATGTGTACACACACACACACACTCAAATCCTGTTGGTTTCATTTCTCTGGAGAACCCTGACTAATAATACAGGATACGTAACTTTTGTTTCCTGAAAAATTAAAAGTTTTCACCTAGACTTGGTGAAAATAAAGACCTCAAGGTTCACGACGAGAGGGTTTTCCAGTCTTTAGCTTGTCCTTGTCCCCACTCATCATCAGAGTCATCGTCATCTTTTATTGCCTGGTGGCTTCAGGCTTATTATTCCTAAAGCTTCGGTCTCCTCATCTGCAAACCGCAGAGAAGAGCGCACACTCATTGGGTTGTTCTGAGGAGGCAATGAGCTACCGCAGAGTCCAGAGCAGTGCCCCGTACGTGGCAGAAGCCAAACAAACGCTCATGGCTGTCATTCTTGTTATGCATAGTTTTCAAACAGCCATTTATTTGTAATAAAAAAAATTCCAGAAAGACCTTTCTGTTTTAATACCCAATTTAGAAGAACCTGGAGAGTCAAGGAAAAACCAGGAAAAGAATGTCACCAGAATTTAGGCGGAACAACACCCACACACGTAAAAGTAACTTTGAGCGCTCTGACATACTTTGCCTTTGGGGGAAGCAGTTTTTTAAAAAGACAAATTTTACAAGAGAAATGAAAATTGTCTGTCACTGGTTGTAAAGACCAAGGAGAAGAGGCAGCATCTGCAGAAACAAGAAACCCCTCATGTGGGGCCAGCGGGCCGCAGAGAAGGGCAGGGCATCGGTGTGGAAATTAACAACCAGGAAGGAGCCGCCCTGCGCTACGTGCCCAGACGATGGTTTACCCGCTTTATCTGCTTTAATTCTCATACTTCAGGAAGTGGACATTATCCTCCTCTTGCAGATGAGAGAACCGGAGACTAGAGCTTCCTTAATTCGACTTGGGATCACAGAGCTACACATGGTGGTAGCCATGATTCAAACTCTGGTCAGCTGGACTCATGTCTATGGCGATTTTGTAAATTGTTACCAGAGCTGGCCAGAGTGTGTTCAGCGGGTTCTGGTTGTAAAGCGATGTGAAGCAGAGAATTCCACAGGCAGATATTTTGGGAGGAAAGTTGAGTTACCAGGTTGTCTTCACTGCAGGTCTTTTAAGAGACTTCAGTGTGCAAATGTGGATCCCAGATACGATACAGTGTCCAATGTCTGGCAGATTACAGAAGCCTCTGCATGCGTGTGTGTGCGCATGGGTGTGTGCATGTGTGACCTGTCATGGTCTACCGTTCCACAGAATAGTTTGGTAAACCCACACTTGCACCATATTGCTTCCTCCACAGCACTGAGTGCAAACTCTTTATCCTTAAAATTAGGCTTTGCTGTTCTCACCGTTTCCTCCACTCATTAACATTTTCCCTGGTTTTGACACCATTGCTATTCATTCATTCATTCATTCATCCATTCATAAAATGTTACACTAGACACTATGCCTGGGACAAAGGAAATGAATGAGTCATGGACATCTGCTGACATTTATCAGAACTTACTTCAGACCCCTATGTCTGAGAGAGAAGGACAGGGGGATAAAAGAAGTAATTGGATGGATAAGCACTGGTTTTTTTCTGTCTGTATTCAATATCTTTGTCCCTTTCAGAGAACAAAAGGCAAAACTCAGGGCCCACGACTGAGTTAAACCCAAAGAAAGTTGATGACTTGCCCTGTTCTCCACGCAACAGACCTCACCTCATTCTAAAAGAGTATGGGGATTGCTTGTGATTTTGAACTTGGCCTGCGTCCAGGTGTCCAGACCACCCTATTACTGCTTCCCTGCAATCAATTATATTAGGTCCACAATTCCTTTGATTCCTTTCCAATCCAAATTCCCCCTTTCTGGGGGTGACTCTTGATGGTCTAGCCAGTGTATTACGGGACAGCGTATGGAATCTGGAATGACATTTCCATATGAAGCCTCTGTACGTTCCTTTTCCAGGTTCCATTCAGAGACATGTGCTATCAGTTACCACAGGAGGCTGAGGAAGTGATGGAAAAGAAGAGTCAGGGACTCAAAAGGAAGGCTCCTCACATGACCCAGCAGGAGAGAACGTGGTCCCCGGACAACAGTCCTGATAGGTCCTAACAGATCTGATAAACTGGCTATTGTATCCGATTAGCTCAGGCTACAGTTTTCATTTACAACTGTGAATGTCATTGGTCAGTGAAATATGGCTGCTAGAGTCAAGAAGAGTGTTCTAAGTCTTGGGTAGTGAACCTAAGACTCAGGTGAGGACTTAATGATTCTGTTTCCCTCCATCACAATCCCCCCAGCAGCTGCAGGTCCACGGGAGGCGTTTCCCTGCACTGGGTGAGACAGTCCGCCAGCTCTGGCATGCTGGGTGGACGGGGACACTCTTCTGTCCCGACAGGAAGGAGAGAGCGTGGGGCCGGGCAGTGCTCACCCAGAGGTGGATAGCATCTGCTCTCTGCCAGGTCTCCCGGGGGAAGCCTGACCCAGGAAACAGCTCCAGCAGCCACACTCTCAGTGATCAGTAACACCCCGATCCATCCCTCCCTCTGTGCTGATGTAGGCTTTAGAATGGAAGAACTCTTGAGAAGGAGTCTGGCCTGGAGCTAATGGGAAAGAAGAAATTATAGTCACTAGTCAATAAAGGTTTCAAAAAGGAGACTTGTGAAGGACTTCAGAATCTACAGGTTGATTCGATAGCGCACAGGGAAGACATCTGTTATCAGAATGGAGGACCTGAAAGAACACTTTGTGATGGGGGAATAAAATAAATTAAGGCTTTTTGAGAATCAAGGACAAGAAAGATGGCCAGTAATTACATAGCTTAGGCTTTAAAAAGTGGAGAAACAACAGAAATCAAAGTACAAACATCTATGTTAGCTAGTGCCTGGCAGGAAGCTGTCAAACTCTCCCTGTATGGATGAGCAGTAGACGTGAGGACGAAAAATGCAAAGGCTGAAGAGGATAGGACCCTCAAAATTTACAAAAGGAGACAGACAGCTAGATACTAGACAGTTAAACGAGTGAAACCAGAAATGTCACATTCCAAACCGTGGAAGACGAGATGTTCCCTTGCAGGACCCAACAGAGCACAGGAAGTGAAAGGGGACACCTGGATTCAGGGCTACTGACCCAAAGAAGTTATTTTTATCACTTGGAAGACGCTGCTGCTGGAGCACTGTTTCCCAGGCACGTATGTGATGTGGGTCCGGCCCGCCCTGACGCATACTGTGGCTTCAGAGAATAACTCCTGCTAAAGGTCGATGGCTTAGTGGCCAGAGAGACAGCTTTAAATACCAGAGGAAGGACCTGGAGTTTTGGGAGAGAATTCACAAATGTAGGCCTTTATTATTCTCCTATCTTACCTTGCAGGAATCCACACTGCTGGTAAGAGGAGGCTGTTTGATTTTGTTTTAATTGTGGCAGGTTGGAGGCAAAACGATGCTCTGTGTCAACTTGTTAAAAAGACTCCCAAAGGCTCAAGCACCACAGACGATGTACAATATCAAGGATGGAACAGCTGTGCCCCAAGTTGCAAATTACTGATGCTTTGGGGGAAACCAGAACATAGTTATCAAAGACTGAACTTCCAAGTTGGTCATGGTGGTTTCAGAGTAGAAAGTGCATCTTTTTAAAATGTTGACACTGACACCATCTGGCACTGTCTGAAGGGCAATCAAATAGCTTCTATTCCTTCCTTCCTTCCTTCCTTCCTCCCTCCCTTCCTTCCTTCCTT